GACCGTGTTTGAAAACATCGACCCCTTGATGTCGAGCGTCACGACGAGCATTCCCCCCACCCCGCCAGGCACCTCGATCTCGCCGTCGTGCTGCGCTGCGCGCGCCGTCGCCTGCGGCTTCATGCCGAGCAGTCCGATCGAGAAGCCGACGACGGAGCTGAGGCGGGGGGTGAGGGCGGGAGGGTGGGGTGGTGAGGGTGGGGGTGGGAGGGTGGGGGTGGGAGGGTGAGGGGTGAGGGTGAGGGGTGAGGGTGGGGGTGAGGGTGGTGGTGGGGGGGGGGGGTTAGCTGAGGCTTCGAGGGCGGCTCGTCACCACCCTCCCGTGTCCCTCCTCCCCTCTCCTCCTCCCCTCTCCGGGTGGCTCGAGGCGGCGGGAGAGAGAGTCGAGGCGGCGCACTCGAGGGGGGCGGCGAGGCGGGACGAAGGTGTGAGTGTGCGTGGGTGTGACAAGCAGAGGAGCGGCGAGAGAGGCCCGTGTCGTAGGAGGCTCGAGCAGCCAGCGAGCTAGAGCCGGGGAGCTAGGGCAGGCAGTCTGGAGCGGGGAGAGAGGCACCCGTCTGCTGCGGCGACTGTGAACGAGTAGCGGCAGCGCGACGGCTCGGGCACGAAGATGGGAACCTCGAAGGTGGCGCCGGGCGCGAGCGACAGCGCCGTCGCCGCCCACCGCTGCGCCTCCACCTCCGGCTCCGCGGCAAGCTCCGGCGGCTGGCGCGCCGTCCGGGTCGGCGCGGGAGAGAGGGCGGGAGGCGGCGCGAAGGAGGCCGCCGCGACCGCCTCGCCCGCCGAGTCGGCCGGCGCCGCTTCCGCCACGACCGCTTCCCCCACGACCGTCACGACCGCCTCCTCCGGAGCGCCGCTTCCCGACTCCCCGGCCGCGGCACCGGCGTGACCATTGGCGGGAGAGAGTGCTGCGGCGGCACCGCCCGTGATCGCCACCAGGCCCTCGATGATGGAGCAGTACGACTCCACCGCTTGCTCTGCTGACAGCGAGCGCACGTCGTTCCAGGCCTCCCACTTTGCACGAGCCACTGCGTCAAAGCGCGACGGCCCAGACTCGGGCGCCGGGCCCTCGGCCTGCTTGAAGAGGGCGTACAGCTTGAGCCGCTGGCTGTTTGTCAGCAGGTTCGGCGGCAGCGAGCGTGCGTCCTCAGACGCCCGCTTATACCTGGCGAGCGCCACCGGGTCGAGCGCGGGCAGCGGCATTGTGGAGTCTCCTTTCCAAGTTTGCTGGCGCCGTCGACACCGGAGGCGACACGTCTGGGAGAAGAATTTTACTTGAAAAGGGCGAGGACACGCACAGGCCGCACCTCTAGTGAGGCCCGCATAGTATGTGGGAGACTCGTGCCGCCGCCCCTGCCACCCCTGTGTCAGTGTGCCTGTGGTAGGAGAGACTGCCAGCGACAAGCTGGAGGCAGGTCGCTAGACTGAGATGAGACCGCCAGTGGATGTGGGAGTCCACCGCGCACCGCGCTGCGAGCCTGTCGTGTCCCGTGTCAGGAGCAGGAGAGCCCCACCTGTCCCCCTGATCGTCCTTCCAAAATCCTGCTCGTGCAGGTGGGGACCCTGTCCTCGTCCCATCCCTCGTTTGGCGTGTCTGTTTTCTTTCTTTCTTTCGTGAGAGAGGCTTGTATCTTAAGAATTCTTTCTTTCTTTCGACCGCCCAAGCGGCGTGGCGTGGAGCGGTTGAGCATCCCTCCGGGGGCCCCTCTGCGCCGGGGAGGCGTTGTTGGAGGCTAGGACGCAAGCGTCCGTCGCCCTTTTCAAACTCGGGGCCCACTCCGCTACGCTCCGACCCGAATTTGGAGGGCCTGAAAGTTTAAGGTGTTGCCGCGCAAAAGGGGTCGTCTGGGGAGAAGAATTTTACCGCGGCTTCACAAAAAAATCGGGAGCGGGCACGGCACCACAACTATAACTGCGTCATGACCAGCCTGCCATGCGTCGCCGGTGCCGCATTCGTTGCTGTGCTTCTTTAGCAGGCGGTGGACTGTCGGCTGCGAGGACGGTCGCATTTGCGCGAGGCGAGGCGAGCATTGCTGCGCGTTGTATGCGCCATGACTCGCGCAGCGCGTGCGGGAGCTCCTGGCTGAGCGTTGAGTCCAGACGAGTTGCGCTGGCCACCATCGCTACGCCGAGCCGAGCTGACGCGCCGAGGCGCCGGCCAGTCGCAGCCGTGAGGCATGCCACAGCAGCAGAAGCACCTGCCACCCATTGGGCGGTCAGACAGAAGGCCAGGGCAGCACTGGCAAGTGCAACGCGCCTCATGTCGGAGAGCGAGCGTGCCTCTTTCGCGGCTTATAATGCGGGTTTGTTGTTAAAGGATAGTGTGTGGCATAGAGCTCTACAGCTCTACAGCGCTCCAGAGCGCTCTACATCTCTACAGCTCTACAGCGGCTCTACACTCTACATCCTCTACACCCTCCCTCAGGCAACAGACTGTACCGCGCAGGGAGGGAGGGAGGGAGCTAGCTGCATGCACACCCCGCTCTCCCCGCCCGGGCCGGTCCCTCCTCTGCTTCCCTGCGGTGCGTATAGCTGTCAAAGAAAGAAAGAAAGAAAACACACAGCCCAAGGGAGGGATGGGAGGACGGCACGCCGCCACCACACAGGTTTTGCTGCGCCGTGCACTTTCGCGGCCGTCCTTTGACGTGCCCACACAGGGATTTAAGGGGAGAAGTGTGGTGCTAGCCGTCGCCCACCCTCGGGACCACTCCCTATCTCCCTTCGCAGTTTCTCACCAATTCTCTCTCTCTCCAATTCTCGCAGCGACCTTCATGCCACCTCGCGTTCTTCCCACTCTCGTCCTTCATCTTCCTTCCTCGTTCTCTCTCCTGCTGTTTCATCCTCTGACTCATCCCTCTCCTCGGCCTCGTTCTGAAACGCCGCCCTGTCTTCCGATCGTGACTTTGGGTTTTCTTTCCTGCATGAAAATTCTCTTCTGTCATCAACAGTCTTGATGACAGTGACAGAGCTAGCCACTCGAGCCCTCTCTCCCGAAGGCTCCTTCGCCCACAGCCCACATCCCAATCATGAGTGCCTTCCTGGTGGCGGAGCCGGCCATCGTGTGTGTGGGCGAGATTGCGGCCGCCGCAGCTCCGGCGCTCGCGCGGGCGGCGGGAGATGAGGCAGCCGCCGGCAGCGCCGCCCGGGACGCGAGCAACTCTCGCTGGAGGATTGGCGACAGGGCGCGCGAGGTGCTGGAGGCCGAATTCAAGCGCGAGCGCTTCCCCTCGGCGAGCCATCGGCTCAAGCTCGCGCAGGCGCTCGACGTGGAGCCGAGGCGGATCCAAGTCTGGTTTCAGAACCGGCGGCAGCGCAACAAGGGCCCGGAGCCCTCGCGCTCGGCGTCCGCGGGGCCGGCCAGGTCGCAGCAGCGCGGCTCGCACGTCGAACTCGCCCGCCCGAGCTGGTGCCCGCCACCCGAAGGAGTTAGCGGCGGCAGCGGGAGCAGCAGCAGCATCCGTGGCGGCGGCCTCGAGGCGCTTCACTGCAGCGAGCACGGGGCGGACCTCCAGCTGACGATGAAGTTGGGGCAGCAAGCCGCCGCCGCGGCTGCCGCCGCCGCCGCCGCCACTGCCGCCGCCGCCGCCGCCGTCCGCGGCAAGCGGGCCCGCGAGGCGCCTCTCGCCCCGCGCCGCCGAAAGACGCCTCGGGAGGAGAGAGAGAGAGAGAGACAGAGAGAGAGAGAGAGGGCCCCTGCTGCGATGTGTAGGCGTACCCGGTCTGCGCTGAGCGGCAGATCACCGCCGCCTCGAGCACGGGCGCCGAGCGCGACGGCCGGCCCGCGTCAAGTGCACTGCCCCGGAGCCATGGCCCCGTGGCCTGCCCGTCCCCCTTTCCCCCTTCCCCTTTTCCCCTCCCCGGGTTTGCCCCCCCTGGGTTTCCCCTCCCGGGGTTTCCCTTCCCCCGGGTTTCCCCCCCCTGGTTTTCCCCTTTCCCGCCAAAACCCCCGAAGTCCCCGGTTCCGGGGGCCCCCCCCCCCCCCCCCCCCCACCACCACCACCCTCCCACCCTTCGCCATCTGCCCCCGAGCCGCGCATCGACCCCCCCTCCCTCCCCAGCGGGGTCCCTCACCCCCACCCCGCCTCCGCAGTCCTCTCTTCTTCGGATGACATCGTCAACGCCCTGATGATGGGGTTCGACGCAGCCGCGGAGCCGACACAGGCCCGACCCGCAAGCGGCCGGCACGCCAAGCTCGAGACCTCGGACGAGCTCATACTCTTGGCAGGGCCGGGCTCGGTGGCAGACACTTCCACCGCGGCCGGCCAGCCTTCCCTCGCCTCCTCCTCCCTCGCCTCCTCCTCCCTCGCCTCCTCCTCCCTCGCCGCCTCCAGCGCGCCTCTGGTCGCCGCCAGCATCGGGCTGGCGGACCGGAGGGCGGACCCGGGCCTCGCGGCGACGGCAGCGTCGATCGGAGTCGCCTTCGCCGCCGCCGCCGCCGGCGGAGGCGAGGCTTCGGCCGGAGGGGGTGCCGACGGCGCTGCGGCTTCCGCGAGCGCCGTTTGTGGCGGTGGCGGCGGCGGGCCGGGGTGCGGGGCAGTTGTCGCGCGGGCAGTGGTCAGCGGGGCAGTGGCCGGCAGGGAGGGCGGAGGTGTGGGTGCGGAGGCGTCCGAGGCGGCGGCGGAGGGGATGTCTGCAGAGTGCGCCTCGCAGAGTGCGAGGAGCGCCGCACTCGCTCTGCTGACCGACTCGATGGTCACTCCGGAGCAGCGCGCGCACTTCGCCGCAATGCGCGCCGGAGCCGCCCGGCCGACGGAGCAAGGGGTGCTCGCCCTCCCTCCTCGCGACGGGACGCGAGGGCAGGCAGGACCCGCCCCGCCCCACGCCCTCCCTGGTGGCCCTCTGCGAGCTGCTGCTGCGTCGACGGGCTGAAGCTCTGGACCCCAGCCCACCTCCCCCCACAACTCCTCTCCTCCATCCGCCCAGCCCGCCTACCTCCCATCTCTCCTCCGCGCGCAGGCGGAGCTGCTTCAGCCTGGCCTTCCCCAGCCCGGCTTCTCTCAGCAAGAGGACATCCAGTCCTGGAAGAACGCAGCGCACGCTGTCAACTCGGCGCAGCCGCCCCGCCCTCCCCTCCCCCCACCCACCTAACGCTGTGCACTCGCCCCCCCCCCCCCCCCGCATCTGCCGCACCCCGGCCCCGGCCACCGGCGCCGGGCGGGTGTGCGGGCCGCATACCATGCTCTGCCCGCCTCCCCGCTGCTGCACGGTCCCCGGGCGCGTCGAGCGCCCCGCACTCGTGCTCTCGCGCCCGCCCGGCCGCTGTTTTCGGTTTCTCTCCCGCTCTGTCCTTGCTTGCCATCTTCCTCTTGTCGTCTCGTCATTTTTAGCTGCCTCGCGTCTTGGCCATGAGGGTTGAGGCCGACATAGAGTGCGCGAGTGTGCGTAGAGGGTTTGGAGGCTGAGCCTGAGTCGAGATTCCGGCCCTGGAGTCGCAATATCCAATAAAACCACCCCTCATCCGTCATCCCTCAAGGTTTCAAGCGAGGGACGGACGCATTTAATTTCAATATTCAAACATCAAAGGTTTCGAAGTTGATGAGACCTCGTCTCCCCCCCTCCAATGAAAAGCGTAAAAAGAGGACGTGCGTTATCCGTGCGACACCGGAAGCGCCGCTTCGCGCTTGGACGTGGGTCACACAATGGCAGCGCTCCAGTCCTCCAGACGCGCTCTGGTAAGCTGCCAATGCCACATCGCTGGGTTACGCGATGGGCTGCGCGCGCGCGCCGGACGGCCTCTGCACCTCTACTGCAGTGCCCTCCTGCACCGAGCGACGCGTCAAACCTTTGTTGCTCTGCCCATGACCGTGTCCGCCGGCGGCTCCGAGCTCGGGCGAGCGAGTCCTGGCCGCGGACGCTCCAATGGCAACACTCAAGATACACTCCACGTGTGAAAAGGTGCGTTTATGTGAACACAGCCTCCGGCAGCGCCCGCCGCCCGGGGCTTCGCCCAGCACCACTCGCAACAGCTCTCGCGCGCCGCCACCGTCTGTGGCGACCTCGCGCAGAACTGAGAACATCTACAACGCTGTGAGATGATGGAGAGGGGGGACGACACTGCTTCTGCAGCGTGCACCTCGATCCTGTACCGTGTTTGTTATGACCCCCCCCCCCCCAAATGTACACACCAGTGAGGGAGGGCGAGACGATCGAGGGGTCCCGTACAATGCGGAATCGACCCTATCAAGTGCTCAAGTGCTCAACAACGCTGCTCGCAACAATGCGTGTCGCGCACTCATTCATTACCGGTCTCAATGTCCCCCCCCCCCCCCCTGCGCGCGGGCCTTCTAGGCCCGCGGGTGGTAGTCTCCCCCCCCTCCCCAGGGCCTCCAGGGCTCGCACCTCAACCTCTCACAGACCAAAAAAAGAAAAGAATTTTACGAGAAAGAAAAGAAAACACGCAAAGCAAACGAGGGATGGGACGAGGACAGGGTCCCTACCTGCACGAGCAGGATCACAGACCAGCGCACAGCGCCATACGACGTATTTTCTTCTCAATACATAAGAAAAGGTGATGGAGGCGGCAGGCTCGCCGCGTGCGGCGATTGAGCGCCTCCCTCTCTCTCCGGCTGCGCGCCTGACCGGTGCGGCCTCCGAGTCGGCGTCTAGCGCGCGCGATAAGGCTTTTGCTCGCCTTCCCTGGGACCCCGTGTTGCGTGACTGTCTCGGTGCGATTTCGGGCACGGGGTTGTGCGTTTATGTGAACAGCGCACAGCGCACATTCCTGGGACCCAGCGCTGACTTCTGACTGTCGTTGCTGTCTCTCTCCCTTCTCGACTGTCTGTGCTTGTGCGTCTTGGGTCCGGGGTTGTGTTTTTCTGTGAACAGCGCACAGCGTATTTATCTCTGAAAATACGCTGTGAAGAAAAGGTGGACCCAGTTGCAAACACGGGGAACCTCCCTCTCCGTCAGAGTTCGCTCCCACTGAGGTCTCCGCTTTTTATTTCGCAGAGGCCCCTTATTGTATAAGGGAGAGCGAGACTCATCATTTAGAGAATGTGGGAGGGCCGAGCCCACCGCGTGAGCGCTGCAGTCCTGCACAGTCACTCACACGCGCGCTTGGGTACGCGCTACGGTGGAACTCGCGTGTTTAATTGAACAAGGCTGACCCCTACCCCTCTCGGTGGGCTTGCAGGTAGGGGGTTCGGGTAATAAGGTGCATCGGGGTCGGCGGGGGTGAACTGGAGTGATACCCGCTTCGGCCGTTTCTAGTAGCGAACTCCCTTTCCCCTCGACGGCCTTCTGAGATGCCTCGGCTGGGTGTTGTGTCTCTGCCGTTCCTTCGTCCGGCTGTTCGTGTACCTGCGTCAGGTGTGGGTGTGTTTTGGCCAGTGCCGTTCCTGCGTCCGGCTCTGGGAACCCGTTCGTGCGACAGGTGAGTGGATGTGTGTGGGATTTCTTGAGCTGTGCCGTTCCTGTGTCCGGCTATTCGTGCCTTCCGTTTGCGGACATCGGGCAGGAGATCGTGGCTCGCGCCGCGTCCCGGAGCCGCCGTGATTTTTTTATTTTTCTGATCTTACAAAACAAACCAGGCCCCAAATGACGTGTGAGTGTTAGAGTTGTTTGGTATTGCCAAAAATCTCTCTCTTCTTTCGATTTCCTCGTCCGAACGAGACATTTTCTTTTTTGGGCTCAGACCCCAAAAGACAACCCACTGATGCTGGGGAGGGTGATGCTGGGGAGGGTAGTACGCAGTTCCTCACATGCGGATGGAGAGGATGCCCCCGTATAGCGGCGCGACGTGGTGCATCTTTCCGACGCCCGCTCCCCAGCCAGGCGCCATGCGAGGCACAGCACGACGTGTACATGCCCATATGGCCGGGCCACCAACGAGCCGGCCGTTCGCTAGATTCTGTGTGCTGTCACGCACCCCGTCTGCGCCACTCGAGCGCGCCATGCTCTCGTACTTCGAAGCAAACGCCAGCACGCAGGTTTCCATCCGACTGTGCGTATTCTCCGACGAGACGGAGGAGCGCGGTCCGGCGATTATTCCGCTCAAGCGGCCACCCTACCTGGAGGCGCGGGAGACGCAGTGCGTGGCCAAGATCCTCGCGTGGTTGGACCATGCGAGCCTGCGGCACCCGGCCAGCTCCTTCGTCGGCTGGGTCGATTCAGACACTTGGTTCGATCCGGTTCGGATGGCCACGCACCTCGCGAGTGTGTATGTGGCGCTGCCTTCAGGCGCCTTGGCCTGGGGCGGCGACTGGCAGCACTGGCAGCGCGCTGCGTGGGACCAGCACGCGCCTCCAACCTCGCTCGGCGGGGTCGGCTTCTCGTGGTGCTCTCCTTGCTCGGTGAGCGCGTGGCCGGAGACGGACCCGCGCCTGAAGCGAGAGAGTCGGGCGGCGGTGGCGGCGCGCTCCTTTGCGATGACGCAGGGAGGGCTCACCTACCTGAGCACCGCCGCAGCGCGCAGGCTTGCGGACAACGCGACGGCGGGCGCCTTTGGCTGGGCGCAGCGCGAGGGCGCCTTCGAGGCGCTCAAGGCGAGGTGGCAGCCCGGGCGGTGCAGTCTCGTGACGGACGTCGCGATCGGCTGGCTCGGCGCGCGCGTCTTTGCGCGGAGCAGGCTGCATGCCGTCGAGGTGTCGCCCAACCTAGAGTACTACCCGTGGCCGCTCTACCGCCGCTTCTCGGCGAGGCACGCTCTCGCGGTGCACGGGCTCAAGAAGGCGGGCGCGCACGCGTGGTTCGCGGAGCAGGCGTCCAACGCTAGCCACGTCCCGCCGCGGCTTTCCTGCCGCGCGTCGCCGTGGGCGCACCAGCGCTCCGCCTCGTGGCGGCTCTGCACGTCGCTCTCCGCCTGCGACGACCCCGGGGTGCCGCTCGAGCCGAGCATAGGCCAGCTGCGCAACTTTTCGGTGCCGTGGGTTCCGGGCGCCGTGCGCGACTTGTGCAAGCTCCACGCCAGCGGGCGGTTGGGACGGAGTCGAAGTGGTGTGCGCTCGCGCGGAGCGGAGAACTTCACACGTCGAGCGAGATGACATATGAGAGAGATGAGACCAGTGTCAGGCGACAGAACCTGTTTATTTCACAAGCACACATGCGCGAGGTTCACCATATGTGCACACGAGACACGTGAGTGGTGAGATTCTTAAAGCGGACGGACGACCGTGAGCGCGGTGCGTGATCAAGGCAAATCAAGCCAGCCCCACACAGCCCACGCACGCCCACACGCGTCCCACGCGCCTGCAGGGGCTCACACTGGGCCCCCGCAAAACCCGCGCGTTTCATTTCACATCCTGCCACTGGCGTACATGAACACCCGCTGTCCCACCACTTGCGGACTCTCTCTCCCCGACCCGGCGCACCGATTTGCACCGCTACCTGCCTGCCCTCGGCCTTGCCAGGCAGCTCCTCGAGCTGCTCTGCCTGTGGCGGAGTCTCTCGCGATACCCGGGGACGAGCCCGTGGTAGGGCGGCGCCTCGACGGCGTTAGCCGCGCGCCGCGCAATGTAGACCTCCCTCTGCACCGCTGGAGTCATGCTCGGCGGCAAGCGGTGCGCGACTAGAGTGCGGAAGAGCCGGTCGACGAGAGGGTTCGCCCATCCGTTCACGATGCAGAAGTTTTTGTCGAGCTCGCAGTGGTGCAGCCGGTGCGCCGCGGGCGAGACCCAGAGACCGGAGCGCTGCAGCAGCTTGACCCACCGGCTGCTGGCCCAGCGGCCGTGCGCAGCAGCGTGCGACACCTGGCAAAACATGCCGACGTGCAGGACGACGTACAGGACGAGGTTTGCAAAGTCAGCGAGCCGGGCCCACGCCAGCCAGTGCAGCGCGGCCATTGGAAAGTAGAAGGAGAGGCCCGTCCGGCAAATGCCGTAGTACCTACGGGTGTGCCGTCGCCGTGGCAGCAGGTGAGGCGCGAGAGGGGCTGCTGCGGCTCTGGCGATGGCGAGGCACGCGCCACATATCGGCCGTGAGCCAGTTGTCCGGCTTGACATGGTGGTATTGGAAGCCAAAGCACGCAAGCTCGAAAGGCGTGCGGCTCAGCGGGTCTGCGAATGGCACTGGGGTGTAGTCAAGAGCAATGTGCACCAGTCCCGTCATTGCGTCTGCGCAGAAGAGGCCGAGCAGCGCCGCGCAGCCGGCGTATGGCCACGAGTGGGCGCCCACGACGGCAGCTGCTGAACAGCCGTGAATGCTGAACAGAAGCAGCATCAGCAGCGGGTTCTGTGGATCCGCCCGCCATCGGGAAAGGAGAGGCTGCGGCGCAACCTCCGCTGCAAACGCGGCGAACGAGGCGGCGTTGCGTGCCTCGTACTCGTCGAGCGAGAGGGGTGGGTTATCCGCGATCCCACAGGAGCGGCGGAGACCGTTCCAGAGCGAGCGGCGCACCACGTGGTCAACCATGTAAAACGCGAACGCCAGGGAGCTCTCCGAGGGAGCTCTCAGACGACGTCCTGCTCACACGCACCGACCTGCACACGCACCGACCTGGCACACCGCCTCAACTTTGGAAGAAGAAAAATGGCGGCCCAATGTAGCCAGCCCCCCACAGTGTCGCGCTCCCCGCTCCCGTTCCCCTTTTGTCCCTTTATCGTCCTTCCATGATCCTGCTCGTGCAGGTGGGGACCCTGTCCTTCTCCCACCCTCGTTTGGCGGGCCCGTTTTATTCCGCTTGCCCACCGCTTGGCTTCGTCAACGGGCGGCCTCGCCACACTCGCCTCGGCATCACTCGAAGCTGCGAGCTGGCTGCGGCCACAAGAGCGGCCTGCTTGGCACGCAGCTGCGTAATCGTCGGCCCGGCGTGCGCGGCTTTAGCTTGTGCCTTGTCGCTTGTGCGCGTTATTCTCGCCCAGGACTATCTATATTCTTTTGCTTATATTCTCCCCGGACCGTTATATTCTCGAGAATATTCTCGAATATTGAGAATATTTTGACCACGCGTAGGTCGACGGAGACCAAAAGCCGCTCCCAAATCCGAATCTCAGAACATCCGAATGCGAATCTCAGAACCTCCAAAACTTAAAGATTTCAGTCGGCATCCGACCCGAAACCTACTGTATTCCTACTGTTGAGGGGGGAAATAGCTGTTTCGAGCTCTCTCGTCAAGACCGTTTTAGACGCCGCAGCGGTAATGTCAAGAATATTCAAGAATATCTTTGGACTCGAGGTCTACTAAGCTCTAAAGGTCAAGGGCTGCGGAAAGCTCGTATATTCTTGAGGGAAAAGCCGGCCGGGGCATCTGTTTCTCATATTCTCGAATATGGAAGTGCGCGGGACCCTCTATATTCTCAAAGATATTCGAGAATAACGTGCACAGGCCAAGCCGCGGCTTTTCACGGCCTGTGCCGGCGAATTGGCGTTCACGCGCTGAATCATCATCGTCATTGCTCCTGTCTGCTGGTGCTGCTTCTCGCTCGCGTGCGTCCTTGGAAGTTGTACCCGCCTCCTTCACCTACGAGCTCGTATGCCACGTCGCCGCCTGTGTTTGGGTTTCTATGTTTGCGATCGTTTTGAAATTTGGCAAATAAATAAATAAATAAAACGGACACCTCTACTGTGAGATGGGTAAAAAGGAACAGAATTTGGCATTTGTCAACTCTTTGTGTATTTATTTATTACTCGTACAACTGTATTCCGATCTCCGCGGGCCGCCGGTCCCGGTGGTCCACCGACCGCGCACCACTAAGCACTGTGGTCCCCCCCGCCCCACACGCCACAGTTGTCACGAGTCGCTCTCTCGACCCCAGCAAGATCCGTGAGACCGTGTATAAAAAGCGACCTTGTCACAATGAGTTCACAGACGTGCGTGCTGAGAAAATTGGGCGGGTCGAGAGGGCTGATATGCCTTTGAGGAAGTGCTCCAAGGTCGCAGATCGGCGTGAGAAGTTGTCTCTCATCATTACCGACTAACCAGAGTTACATAGCTTCTGCACGCTCCGCTCGCACTCGGCTTCCCCCCCAAAGTTCTCTGTCTAGCAGTACCCGCGTCAAATTTTTGGTACAGCGCAGCGGGCCTAGCAGTCCCAAGCATGCTCGCGGCATGCACGAGAGCGCGCGCTCGTCCCAGGCTGAAATCCTCCGGCCTAGAGGGGGCGAGGGCAGCAGTGAGTGTGCGGCCATCTCAAGTGGGCGAGGTGGCAATCGTGTCAGATACTCGTCGGCCGCTATGTGCACATCTAGGCTGCAGGCCAAGCCACGTGTAGAGCCGCTCGTTGTAAGGGGCGTAGTCCCGCTGCAGCCGGCAGCGCGTCTGTGCGGTGGCGGGGAGGGGCTGGAGGGTCAAAGCGGCGTGGCCATCCCCATCCCCGACACCCCGCCTAGGCCCCCGCAACGCACCGCGTGCAGCTCGTGCGCGTCCAGAGGGACCGGGTAGGGTGTTGTGAACGCACAGCCTAGGATCAGGGAGCTCCGTATCGGACGGGGCAACGGCCAGGCACGTTGGCCGGCGATGCGGACACTTCACCCTTGTTCCTCGGCTTGAACCGCTCTGGCACGCCGAGCGCGCGCCAGATTTCATCGTATTCGTGCTCCTTAGGCTGCGCTCGGAGCTCCTAGACCACCACGGCCTGTGCGTGAGGCGCGGGTGGCGATTGGCCGAGGGCAGCAGGCGGCCCGTCCTCGTAAATGAAGACGTTGAGTGCAGAGCGCGGGAAGAGCTTCTCGTACCGTTGCAGGTGGAGGATGTACCGGCCACTCACCTGGTGTACCGGGCGGAGTTTGTGACGTCGCTAGCACTTGATCTTGGACACCCGTCCAAGCCACCACTCGGTGCCACGCACCACGAAGCCGCAAGGGTTGTCGATGTCCTCGGCCCACTCGTGCGGCGTCGGCTCTGGACAAGCATACTCGCCTGATGCGAGACGAGGGTGTGAGCGGGAGGGGCCGCGGCTGCGCTGAAGCGTTGCCGCACGAATGATCCGCCTGTCCCGCGCGTGACGTGCTGCTGCTTGATCATGTTCCAGTGCGAGTATGCGCGCGCCACCGGCTCGCGCAGCAACGCGATGATCGTCACACGGGGGTAGAGGCTAAAGATTCGCATCGGAGCCTCCGGGTCGCAGAGGTAATCCGGGCTCTTCTCGCCGACGAGCGACGCCTGTCGCGTGAGAAGAAGGGCTCGGGCCCGCGCGTGTGCCGCCTACTCCTACCGCAGTCATGTCGTGCGCCTTGAGTCCGTCCAATGACCGCTCGTACCACGCCTGACCGCGGTCCCAGTTGGAGTAGAACGAGGCGTTACCATTGAAGAAGTGCGACTCGTAGATGGGTGCCTCGATACGCAGCATTCCGATTGAGGGATGAGCTTCGGCGGCGCAGCCCAGGGCGGACGTGCCTCCTTTCACGGTGCCAACGACGAGAAAATCCGGCGCACGGCGGCCATGGCCGAGAGGCTGCACTCCAGGCACGACTCCCGGCGGGGGGCAAAATGCGTCACTGCGCGCGGTCTGAAGCGCGAGCAGCACACACCAGGCGCCGCGCAAGCTCCGCATGCTCCGACCGTCTGGCTAGTCGACAGGCAGGGGACGTCAGAGGCCGCGCCGGTTCAAGTAGTTTTTGCGCGTAAGATTTGCTTGACGGATCGCCGATTTCTTGGGTACGTACTTTTAGCTGACTGGATGCGCGAGCGCGGCCCCAGTACAGACGCCGCACGCGGCACGCGGCACCAAAACGAGCCGCCGGTGTGTCCCGCAGCGGCCTCGCTGCCTGTGCGCTGTGGGCCAGAAGATCGGCCCGTGTGAGTGCTCCGCAGCGGCCTCGCTGGGCCAGAAGATCGGCCCGCGAGTGCTCGAATCGAATGCCGCGGATCTCTCTGCTGCCTCGTCCGACGGGCAGGCCCGACTGGTTCAGCTTATGACCGACATTCAGCAGTGGCAGGCCGACGGTGGCTCGAACAACGAGTTCATCGAGCTGGTCCTGCGCTCGGGTTGCGTCAAGGCCTGCAAGTGGGTGCTCGGCATCAGCCGTACATTGGTCGGGCTCCCCTCCGGGATGGTGCGGGAGCGAGACGCGGAGATACCGCGGCGCTGGGACGAGTTCTTCATGGACGCCCTCGCCACCGACGAGCACAACTCCAAGGACGTGTCTCTCACCGACATGAAGGTTGGCGCGTTCAGCGCCACCTCCATCGCCAGCCTCAAGCTCGGGAATCTGGGCGGGATCGATTTCGATAAGGACTTCGTCTGCCCGATCCTGCGGCACACGGCGGGAGAGCATCTGCAGCGGATCCCGGTTGCCGAGAGCACGATCCAGCCGATGACGCTGGTCGACGTCATGAGGGACCCGGTGCGGCTGATGGCGCACATGATGTATGTCCCCCGGCTTTTGCACTGCATCGGTCTGCCGATGGACGCCGATAACAGCTACTCTTCGCTCATGGCCTTCATTGAGCCGAACCTGCGCAAGGCGCGCGCCAACGGAGTGCTGGTCACCGGGGCTACGAACGCGGCCGAGCTCGTGGAGGCGGCCTTCACGGAGGCGGAACTACGGCTGCGGGCGTCGCACGACAGCAACACGGCGCGCTCGTTGTCCTTCATCGGGGAGACCCTGCGCGCCAAGGACGAGTATGACAAGTACCTCTCCGAGCTCGACGACACGATCTGTCGTCGCAAGCGGCACTTGAAGGAGGAGCAGGATATGGAGGAGGAGCGACGGGCGAGGTACGCGGCCGGGGCGCCATCAGGCACCGCGCCTCCCAAGCCGCAGCCGCCGCAGCCGCCGCAGCCGCCGCAGCCGCCGCAGCCGCCGCAGCCGCCCAAGAAGAAGAACAAGAAGGGTGCGGGCGACGGGGCGGTGCGGGACCGGAGTGGCGAGCTTCGCTCCGACGGCTCCGCAGGCTTTGCTTTCGGCTCCTCTGTGACCTACTCGCGCCCGCTCATCGCCGGGGCATTGGCGAGCAAGTACGGCGCGGCCGAGGCGGAGGGGGCCTGCGTCATATATGCGGTGCAGCGTTCACCAGGCACCATGCAGTGGTGCAAATGCAGCACCTTTGTACCGGGCACGCCGCCGCACAAGCTCACCATCCCGTTCAAGGAACACGTCGAGCTCGGCCTTTGCCCTCCTCCTCCGAAGTCTTTCGGTCGGCAGGCGGCGGGCCCGAGCGGCAAGAAGCCGCGACAGGCCTGAGTCCTCCGCCCACCGCACCTCGGCTCGCTATCGTCAACGGCGGCTGCGTTCAGCAGCTCGAGCCGGCGGCGGCGGCCGAGGCGCGGCGGCGGCGCGCTGTGCGCTTTGCGGAGCATATTGACCCGGTGGCGACGCTCGACGCGGTTCACGCGGTCAAGCGCGTGGCTTTCGCAGATCGACCTAGTGCACAGACAGCACTGGATCTGGCCGACTCGGGCCCTTGCCCGACGGCCAAGGAGTACGCGGACGCGTGGGAGCGTAAGCTGGCGGGGACACCGGGTCGGTGCGACTCGCCGCTGCTTTCGCAGGCGCGCTCGCGCGGCGTCGCCGACCCCGACTTTGGCTTGCGCGTTCATGCGCTTTCCAGGGACGACGACTTGCCATCAGGCTTCAGCTCTCGGCCCGGGGCGCTGCGACGTGTGGAGCCGTGCGGGCGTGCCAAGCCGGGCGAGCCGCCCAACCCACGGGGCAACCCAGTGCGGCCTGCCGGTGAGACGAAGGCTGGCTACGCTGCGGCCGTCCGTGACTATGCCGAGGTGCTCTCTAACGTCGGGCTCGAGCCCGCGTGGGAGGTCTGCCAGCGAGTCGGCGCCGGCTCGAGGGCCATCCGCGCCCAGTGTGAGCTCGTCGACAAGGCTCTGCCAGCTGCGATGGCTGCTGATGTCGACCACGTGTACGACGGTGGCGGCTCGCTCGCCTATCGGTGCAGCTGCAACGGGCTACGCCGAGGCTGGGCCTGTCACAGCACGCTCGTGCGGGCGGAAACCGTCCGGGCCTGCCAGCGGAGGCACGACGCCGACCTCGAGCGGGCGCGCCGTCCAACTTTGCAGCGGCGCTCGTTGACTTTGAGCTCGCACACCCGTGTCGGGGAGCGGCGCGCCGGACTGCGCCCCTGTTTGTTCAAGACGGGAAGCACAAGGCGTGGACCGCATCGGCCATTGACCGCACACTCGACGGTGTTATGACAGCCACGCTGTCTTCGGCGGAGCGCCAGCATAAGACGTTCCACTCGAAGCGCGTCTGGCTCGCGTCGGCATTCAAGGCCAACAGGCTGGCGGAGGGCGAGATCCAGGCGCTCTGCAGGTGGCGCTCGGTCGACTCGATCCGAATCTACGGTCGGATGGACATGGAGTATCAGGCCCGTTGTCGCGAGAACGCGAGCACCGCGGTATTCTCCACCATCAACGCCACCAGTCTCATACCAGAGCTAGACCCAATCCGCTACTCCGCGGACGGAGCCCCCCTCCTGCCAACGGCGCAGAATGTAGAGGCGAGCATCAGCGCGGCGGCCTGAGCTGCGGTTCACGCGGCGACGCCGGCGCTCAGCGGGGCTCGCCCCTCCCTCTCTCCTCAGCGGCTCACGCGACACTCAGCACTGTGCGACACGGCGCTCAGCCTTCCGCAGGACTCGAGGCGAGAATCACCGCGGCGGCTCACGCGGTGACGCCGGCGTTCAGCTAGGCTCGCCTCTCCCTCAGCGGCTCACGCGGGGACACCAGCGCTCAGCTAGGCTCGCCTCTCTCTCTCAGCGGTTCACGCTGTCTCGCGGCTCACGCGACGCTTGGCACTATGGGACACGGCGCTCACAGCCTTCCCGGGCGCACGCGAGACGGGTACTCGGCTCACAGGTACTTGGCTCACGAGCCCCTTTCTGCGGTTCACGCGCTCCTGTTGCCAAGATGAGGAGGCGGCACCTGCGCTCAGCAGGCCGGCCCGGGCGCTCGCTCGCGTCGGCCGCGGCTCTGGCAGCCAACAGCGGCTCACGCTTTGGATCACGGCAATGCGCTCTTGCGGCTCTCGCGATAGCGCAATGCCGTGAGCCCTGTACTCTACTCTCTGTACACTTTGATCGATTCGGCGAGGCCGCCGTCGCGTCCTGAAGGGCCTTTACTCTTTCGCCGGACGCAACTGGCCTCAAAGGGGCTTCCGGGTTCCGGCCTCTGCGTGCGGCGATTCTTACATGAGGCCCTCAATGGATCAACTCTCCTCTCTCCATGAAGGGAGCGAACCTGGCTGACGGCAAAACTGCTAGCTGTCGCCCTTTAGGGCGACATGATGGTGTTTTGGCGCGAGGGGGGGCGTGCAAGTGGCTAGAATGCCTAGCGCCGTCGTCCTGGGGGGGACCCGTCCTGACCGGGGAGGGTGCCCGCCGGAATTCCGGCGGAGACTAGTACTCCAGTCGTGGTCCCATTCAGACGGACCTGCGCTCCCTCGCTCGTGTGCCTGCCGGGTTCTCTCCTGCTTTCTGGCGCATCCCACCATCCACCCCATGCGCCACCTGTGTTCTGTTTGCTTGTTTTGTGTGCCGCCACGCCCGAGGCCCTTCCGGGTGGGGCTTCCGGGTTCCGGCCTCTGCGTGCGGCGATTCTTACATGAGGCCCTCAATAGATCAACTCTCCTCTCTCCATGAAGGGAGCGAACCTGGCTGACGGCAAAACTGAAAGTTATCCAGACTGTGCACGTCGGCTCGAAGTCGATGCCAAAGAATCGCCTCGAGGACCTGCCTCCGGACGTGCTGCGTCAGATCTTCCGCCTCCTCGCCGATCCTTTCGCTCCCGCCTCTGCGTGCGCACTCGTGGGCTGCTGCCGCTACACCCGCTCTGCCTTCCGCAGCCGCGCGACCGGCGCTGACCGCACCGAAGTCGAGCGTTTGAGGCTTTGGTGGGGCCGGGCGACCGCGTTTTGCGGGTCTCACAGGACGACCGCGTCACACATGAGACTGGCGACGACCGTCGGGCTGAGCGAGAGTTTCGCCGTCGCAGAGGCCCCGACGCTCGCGCTGCTGCTGGAGCGCGGCTCGTTCCGGCGGCTCTGCTGGCTCCAGCTTTACGGCAGCCTCCTGAGCGAGGCCTCCCTCCGGCCGATCGTCGAGACGCTGGCGGCGGGCGCCTCTCCCTCGCTCAAGAGCCTCGACCTCGCGGGCAACCACCTCGGCGACGCGTCGTGCGCCATGCTGGCCGCGCGGCTGAGCGAGAGCCCGGCGCGCGTGCTGCCGGCCCTGGAGGTGCTCGGACTCGGCTCGACCCGCATCAGCAGCCGCGGCGTCGAGGCGCTCGCTAGAGCGCTGGCTCGCGGGGCCATGCCGCGGCTGGTGGGCCTCGGGCTGCGGTCGAACGACATCGACGACGAGGGCGTTATTGCGCTCGCCGAGAGCGGCATGCTGGGCCTCGCGGCGCTGAGGGAGCTCTTCCTCTGCGGAAACGACCGCATCACGTGCGCCGGCATCGACGCCCTCGCGGCCCGCTTGCTTGGAGGCTCCTTCCCCTCTCTGCGCTGGCTCGACGTGCCGCCCCTCAAGAGCAGCGCCTTCCACGCGGCCTGCGCGGCGCGCTGCGTGTGCGTGCTCGACACTCTCGGACCAGCGCACGCTCCCGAGAACCCAACCGCCGGTAGCCAGCAGCCCGCGACGTACGAATGAAATGACGACCTGTCGAGAGGCGAGAGGAGCTGGTCTTTGGAGCTTTGCGTCAAAAAAGTTTTGTTGATTGTTGTGTGTCGATACCGCGCGCCGCCAGTAATCGTATTGTATTGTTTGTGTATTCCGCATAATATCTCGCTGGAGGCCTGGGGAGGGGAGGCGAGCACAGACACGAGACAGTCAGACACTAATTGTAATTCGAATACACAAACAAAAGAGTTCACACTGCATGCGCACACGATTCCAGTGTGTGTTGCGAGACGCTTGGCGGACAGACAGACCGCCTCGCTCGGCCCCTCCTGCTGCTCCTTCCAGGGTCCAGCGAGAGCGATACGACGTAGCTCGTAGGCCCTACTGAGGCCTAGCGCAGGCCCTCCCCGGGCCCTCCAAGTAGGAGCATGGTGCATGCAACCCTGACATTCGACTCTGCCTTCCCCGCCCCCTCCCTGGGCGCCTTCAGGAGAGGAAGCCGAGCAGGTTGGGCGGATCGTGCGGGCTCCACCACCGCTGTACGATGGGGTAGGAGGAGATGCAGACTACGTACGTGCAGATCAGGACCTTGCCCTTCGCCTTTGTGAGCTGCGACTTCCTGTGGTCGCCGCGCCGCCTGCGGTGGCGAGCCCGTGGGGCGGGGCGTGTGAAAGCAAGGCCCCGCTCCCCCCTCGCGGGTGCCTCGTCTCTGACGATGCACCAGGTGTGCGCTGTGGAGAGGATGAGGAGCGAGGCGAAGACGGCGAGGTTGGCCGCCTGTGCGGCGCAGGGCGGCCGCCTCGACGGGGGTGGGGGTGGGGGTGGGGTGGGCGGGGGCGTGGGGCGGGAGAGGCCTGGAAGAGGGCCATGAGCAGCAAGTCGCGGTGGGCGCCGAGGACGATGTCGAGTCCAGAGCTGCACGAGAGGAACCTGTGGCAGGGGAGGAGGGGGTAAAGAGGGGGGGGGGGGGGGAGGGGGGGAGGGGGGGGCGGTCGCGCCACGGCAGGCCGAGCCCGACGAGCACGTTGACGATCTGCGAGCCGCAAGAGTTTGAGACGGCCATCGAGCCGTAGCCGCGCTTAGCGACGGTGACGGACTGGATGGTGTCGGGGATCTCGGCGCCGATGGCGATGACGTACATGCCGAGGAAGGCGGCGGGCACGTCGAGCATCGCGCCTGCGTGGGCACCGCCACAGGGTGAGCAGACGAGGGGGGGGGCGGAGGGGGGAGGAGGGGGGAGGAGGGGGGCGGAGGGGGGCGGAGGGGGGCGGAGGGGGGCGGAGGGGGGGGATGCCGAATCGCGAGACGATGGCCGAGATGACGAGGGAGAGGATTGCGACCCAGGTGAAGGACGTGGCGAGCGTGACCGGGTACCAGAGCGGTGTCGGGCCTGCGGCTGGGGCGAGGGGCGAGGGCGAGGGCGAGGGCTCGGGGGATGGCGTTGCGCCGTATCCGGCTACAGGTGTGTCGTATCCGGCTCCATCTCGGCCATCTCTCGGCTGCATCTCGGCTGCATCTGGGTGGCGTGCCGTCATGCTCGCACGGCGGGCAAGTGGCGCTCACCTGGGAGGGGCGGAGGGAGGGGGCGGAGGGAGACGGACCAGCTTGGTGAGAGAGAGAGCACGCGAGCGCGGGACGAGTGCGGGATGTGTCGCAGCCGAGGCACCAGCCGCTCGGAGGAGATCTGGCCGAGATCTGGCCGAGGTGCGGCCGAGGTGCGGCCGAGGTGCGGCCGAGGTGCGGCCGAGGTGCGGCCGAGGTGCGGCCGAGGTGCGGCCGAGGTGCGGCCGAGGTGCGGCCGAGATCTGGCCGAGATCTGTCCGAGATCTGTCCGAGATCTGGCCGAGATCTGGCCGAGATCTGGCCGAGGTGCGGCCGAGGTGCGGCCGAGGTGCGGCCGAGGTGCGGCCGAGGTGCGGCCGAGGTGCGGCCGAGGTGCGGCCGAGGTGCGGCCGAGGTGCGGCCGAGGTGCGGCCGATGTGCGGCCGAGGTGCGGCCGAGGTGCGGCCGAGGTGTGGCCGAGGTGCGGCCGAGGTGCGGCCGAGGTGCGGCCGATGTGCGGCCGAGGCGCGGCCGAGGTGCGGCCGAGGCGTGGGCGTCTCACCAGCCACTCGACAGGCAGGATGCAGAGAGCTGCAGCCTTGCTCACGGCCTTGCTCGCGGCGGCGAGCGCTGCCGCGGCGGCGCGTGCCAGCCCTCCCTTGGGCCCTCCATCTGCTGGTCCCCCTGCTGGTCCCTCTGCTGGTCCCTCTGCTGGTCCCTCTGCTGGCGGGCTCTCCTCCTCGCCGCGCGGAGGAGTCCACCTCCCTCCCTCCGGCGCAGGGCTGCCCGCCGCCCCGCCGCCCGCGACCGGCAGGAAGGAGGAGGCGGGCGGCGACGGCGCGGGCGCGTGGGCGGGCGGGGAGTACGACCCCGAGTACGACCCCGAGTAGCACGAGCCGGCGGTGGGCGCGAAGGGCGACTCCGCGACGTGGAGGTGGAGGTGGTAGGGGCTGCCTATTATTGTTGCTGCTATGATGATGATGATGACTCTGCGACGTGGGTGTGGAGGTGGTAGGGGCTGCCTACCGCCGAGTCGGTACGGGAAGGCAGCGGCGTGCGCTCTCCGCACGAGTCCGCCTATGGGACAGCCTTGTGCTTTGGGAGCCGCGGCCGTGGGGAGGGTGGCTGCCTTGTCTGCGGCGGCGGTTGCGTGGGCGGACGGAGCTCGGGAAGACTCGCGGGAGGACTTGACGAATGACTCGGAGAGGCGGTCCTCCTGGGAGAGGCGGGAGGAGGGGCGGTGGAGGGAGGCGGGGAGGGAGGCGGGAGGGAGGGCGGGGAGGGCGGGGCTGGAGGAGAGGGAGGAGAGGGAGGGTGGTTGGGAAGAGGGTGGGGAGGGCGGCATGGGTCTGGGAGGGAGTCGGTAGCTCGTCGCCTTGCCAACCCGGTGCTATTCTTCTTATTCTTGTTATTACTATGACCTTGCCCAGCCAGTGCACGCGGTACAGCCGCCGCACGTCTGCCGCGTAGACCACCACCAGCATGTAGCAGACGTAGCCTGCGAGCATGGCGGCAGCCTCGACCGCCTCGATGCGGCCGTCGCTGAAGATGTAGCACAGCCACGAGATCGAGAGCAGGTACGTCACCAAGTCGCGCGCGAGCGGCCGCCGCTTCAGCAGCAGCGGCTCCGCCCCTCCGGCGGCGACGCCGCAGATGCCCGGGATGGCGGTGAAGGCGATCATGCCGGAGCCGAGGATGGCGCCGACGCCGAGGACCGCGTCGTCGCCGTCGTCACCCTCGTCCACGTACCCGTCGTGCTTCTCTGTCGACAGCACCGTCTTGAGCGTCGAGATTGCGTTGATGATCACCTCTGGCGCCGCACTACCGAGCGCCATGAAGGAGGCGCCCGCGACGTCCTCGCGCACGTTCCAGCGCACGCACAGCGTCTCCAGGCTCACGACGAGGTGGCGGTCGGCCACAATGGCGACGGCGACAAAGGAATACACGAAGGCAATAAGCTCGACTGCCACGCCCCACCACTCGCCGTCGATGTTGTCCAGGCAGAGGTTCTCCCTGCGGTGCAAAGGGCTGGTGGCGCGGCGGCCGCAGCGGAGCGGGTGGGCGGTGCTGACTAGCGCGCACCAGCCCGCCTCGCACGCCATGCTTGCGAGCACGAGTCCAACCCGCGCCGCGGAAGAATTCTTTGTGTGTTTTCAGCCCTTTCCCGACGCGCACTCCCCCTAGGGGTCAGGGCTCTCTAGCCCGTAGCCCGATACCGACCATCCGGCCCGCTGGGTGCGCTTCTTAGCTCCTCGGCCCTGGATGTGAGGTTACCGACTGCACTCCAAGTGCTCCAAGTGCAAGTGCAGTGCCAGTGGCCCCGCGAGCTGGGAATAGGACCGCCGCAAGCGGCCTGGCGTGGAGCGGTTGAGCATCCCTCCGGGGGCCCCTCTGCGCCGGGGAGGCGTTGTTGGAGGCTAGGACGCAAGCGTCCGTCGCCTTTTTCAAACTCGGGGCCCACTCCGCTACGCTCCGACCCGAATTTGGAGGGCCATGAAGTTTAAGGTGTTGCTGCGCAAAAGGGGCGGGGCGCGGGCGCGCGCGGCAGGCCGAGAGCTCGTTTTGGAGATCAGACCTTTCGATGGTTCATGCTTTCTATGTCTATCTATCATGCTTCATGACACGACACGCGGTGGCGTGGGCGAGCTGGTGGAGCTGTCAGCTGATCGATCCAAGCGGGTGGGGAGTGGGGGGCATGGCTGGGCATGCAGGTCCGCCAGTCGGCCCGGTTCTGACGTGGTGCTGCCGCTGCATTCGCTGAAGAAGAGAGGTGCGACTTGATTGGAGGCACTGGAGGCGAGGCGAAGGGAGAGGTTGGGCCGGGCCGTGAGGGGCTGATGGCGCTGGCCAGCGCTGGCCAGCGCGGGGTGTGAGATGTCGTCGTCGTATACTGCTGGCCCTCGCCCTCAGTTGCCTGGGCTGTGGGCTGCAGAATTGGCGTCTGTGGCGTGCTAAGGCTCTGCAGCGTGATGGCTGGCGGGACTGCGAGGCCGGCGCGGAAGGAGAGGCTGGGCACGAGCCAGGAACAGGCTGGCCAGGTCCGCAGGTGGCTGCGCTCGGGCGAGGCGCGCGCGCGCATGGCAGGCCGAGCAGGCTCGGCATATATGGTGAACCTCCGATGTCGCGATGCGGTCCCGCTTTTCCGCGATCATTCCGTCCAATCGAAGGAAGCGCTGTCGCCCATGTTTATGGAGTAACTTGTTACCGTTCTTCGTCTGACGTTCCGTGGTTTTTGCACGGTATTCGGATTTTCGCTATTTGGTCATGTGGGTGTGTATTCTGGGATTAGTCAATGGTACCGCGTCGGCGACGCGGGCGCCTTGCGGGCAGAGCCCTTAGCCACCCTTTGTCTTGCGCGGTCAAAAACCAGCCTCTCTCACAGCACACTGGCACGACAAGGGCGCGGACTGGCGCGGACTGGCACGGCGGGAAGAAGAAAGACGAGGTCGTCCTCCCGAGTGGGGGACTAGCACTAGCCGTCTTCCACATGGTCCCTCGGGTCCCTGCTGCTCCTAATCTCTTCGTACATCCTCCTGCTGATCTCCGCAAAGTCCTGCTCCCTCCCTCGTCTCGCCCTGCGCGTTTGCTCCGCCTCCCCGTCGTCTACCCTGCGTCGTCTGGTGGCGGGTCCTCCATAGTCGGTTGAGGTCGCCGCCCTCCTCGTGCCTCTTCCCAACGTTCCCTCGGCGGTCGATGCCGTCTGCTCCGGCTCCCCCGTCCCCGGGTCTGCCCTGCTCTCGTCTGCGCTAGTTTCTGTTTTGTCATCACCGGTGTCCGTCCTCTTCTTTCTCCTCTTCTTGTATGCTTTGTACATCGCGTCGATTCCTTTTCGCGTGAGCACCACCCTGAAGCCCGCCCAGCAGCTGAACCGCTCCTTAAGAGTCGAAGGAGCATTATCAGTCTCTCACCCACTTCGCGTTAAACGTTATTTAATGTTGGAGACGTACCGTCTCGGCAATACAGGGGTCACGGCATGATCCATGCGGTGCACGTGTCACGGCGCGCCTAGAGCTGTTTAACATTAACTTTGGGCCACAGTTGCAGCAGGGTGTTGGCTGAAATCCTTAACGTTGTTCAAGTGTTCACCCCAGCCCAAGCTGTTACTGTTTGTTACTGTTGTTACTGTTGTTCAGCGGTCAGCAAGCAGAAAATGCCAAAAACCCCGGGTAAAACCCGAAAATACCTGGGGTTTTCCGGGTATTTTCGGGCACTACCCGCACTGGACGCTGGAGATCGTCGTAGAGGTCACTGCCAGGCCTTCCTTATTGTTGTTCAGCCGGCCTAACGTTAGCTACTGTTGTTGGGGAGCCCCACTGTTGTTCTGTTGTTACTGTTAACACTAGCAACACTGTTCAGCTCCCAACGTTAAACAGCTCTAGCGCGCGCCAACTCACAACGTCATCAGGGACAGGCGCGTCACTCCGCCCCGCGCCTCGCCCGCCGTCGCACCAGGAGGTCGTCGGTGGACAGCCCGCCCGGCGGTGGCTCCAGGGGCACCTCGCACACCTCCATCACCGGCTCGCACTCGGCGGCGGCTCCGCGCGCCGTGGCGGCGGGCGGTGGCGACGAGGCGTATGAGAGGATGCAGGTCCAGACAAAGGAGCCGAGGGAGACGTAGGTCACCTGGTGGAGGGGGCGGGAGGAGGGGTGAGGGGAGGCGGGAGGCCCGGAGCTGTGCGTCCGATCTGCGCCGCCTGCCATTCGTCTGGCACGAGGACAAAGTTGGACAGCTGCAGCGGGAGGAAGAAGGACCTGGCAGGGTGCGAGGGGCGGGTGGGAAGGACCGGGCAGGCGGTGTGGGGGATGTGGAGCGGGAAGGGGCGGGGAGGGGTTCGGACCAGCAGCGGAGGAGGAGCGGCCGGATCTGCGCGCGCGCGTACTCGACCGCCTCGGAGGGAGGGTAGCCTCGCACGGCGGCGACGACGGCGAAAAAGAGCGGAAAGTAGAGGGCGGGGACCTGGGCGGGGAGGGGCGGACTCGGGTCGTGGCGGGGCGGGAGGGGAGGCGGCGGGGAGACGACGCGCCGCGACGAACTGCATCGTCGCCGTCTTGACGAGCGCAGCGCCGAGCCGATCCGGCACAGCCGCCTCCTGCGGGTTTGGCGGGTCGGTCGGTGAGAAGGAAGCTGCGCGTCGGCCGCCCACTGCACTCCTGGGAGACGAGGTGCGCCTGCTGCAGAGCTGCTGCCGCGGCGGCGACCGCCGGGCTCTCGTTTAGCACGTCGAAGAGTGCGCCCTGCACGAGGCCGTACGCCCCTCCGAAGGCGCCAAAGCCGAGGTTGCGGCGTGCGTCAAACCACTCGCCCCTGGCCTCGCTGTCGCCCCGCTCCGGTTCGCGGGAGGCAACCTGAGTCACCGCGTCGCCGCTGACGGAGAGCGCCAGCGCGGTCGCACCCTTGGTCGCGAGAGGGTGCGCGACGAGGGCAGCGCCGTATCCCGACACGGCGGCACCGAGAGGAGCCGGCAACTCGAGAGGTGAAGGCGCCAGCAGTGAAAGGGTGGCTCCGACATTCACGATGATAAATAACGACATTCGTTCCTAGGCGAGCGACGGGAACGACGCGGGGCGCTGTCTCTTAGATGGAAGCAGGAAGCTTCCATCCCGGCCGTGGTTCGACTCCACATGAGCCGAGGCGTGAAGGTGTGAGGGCAACGAGATCTGAATGAAGCTCACCCATTGAGGAAGTGAGTGAGGAACTGCTCGGCCCACCCGGGATCGTGCACGTGCTGAACAAGCTCCTCTTGTAGCTGGATCGGTCACACCGCCATCGCCGCCGTCGTCTCCCAGGGAGACGATGGAGAGGGGGGACGACACTGCTCGATCTACCCTCTGGGGTCCCTCAGTAGCGTGGTGCGTGCACCTCGATCCTGTACCGTGTTTGTTATGACCCCCGCATGAACACACCAGTGAGGCCAATGAACACACCAGTGAGGGAGGGCGAGACGATCGAGGGGTCCCGTACCATGAATCGACCCTGTGAAGGGTATGTATGTATGTATGTGCTCAAGTGCTACACACACACATCGAACTAGCTGTCAGGAGACGGAACACGGAGGAGCTGTATCCAGGTCACTAGAGACCCACACCATCGCTACATCACCACAGCCACCAAGTCGGATACAAGTCGATGACAATGTGCGCGGCAGGAGAAACCCAACAGCATGACAATGTGCGCGGCAGGACAAACCAAACATGAGACACGGTTACACAAGGACGGTCAGGCTACGGTCAGGAAGTAGGTTTGAGCTCTCTCTCCAACACTCCCCCATTGTCTCCGCAGTCTTCATGAACGAGGATGCGGCAGACAACAACAGCAGAGTGTGAATGTGTCTGAGCGTAGGTATGCCGGTTACCCGCCGGCGTCTCGCGGGGCTGGCTAAGCGTCCAACCTTGCGTCTTCGCGAAGGATGGTCTTGCTTGTTGGCAAGACTTGCGCGCTAAGATGATCCAGTGAAGGGGTCAAAGCGCGGCCGAGTGGGCGGAGAGAGAGAAAGGGGAGATAATGAACAGGAGCTCGTTGTGGAGCTCGGTCATGGCGCGCCGCGAGCTGCAATCCGGGCTGAGCGTCGCGGGGCGGCGGCTTGAGCGGGCGCGGCAGGCGCAGCGGGCGCGGGAGCGGCAGCGGGGGCGCCCCCTTGCGGCGCGGCGATTGGGCCGTTGGGAGGCCTCGCCGCGTTGACGCGGATGAGCGCATCAGGGACGTGAGGACGATCTTCAATGCCCCGAACGTTGATGTTGCGCCACGGGCCGCCGACGTCGGAGATGGCAGGCTCAGTCTCAGACGTCCAGACGGCAGAGACGCTCGTAGAGGCGCATTGGACTTCTTGCCAGAGGCGTTCGACAGCGGGACGGGCTAGCGCGAGGAGGCGAGACGAGGAAGAGACAGCAATGAGGTAGAGTGGCATTGCCACGTCGAACAGATGCCCAACACTCCCCCACGACGTGGTAATCGCCACACAAGGCAGAGAGGGCGTGTCGATCGTCGCGTGTTCATCGCGTACAGCTCCGGTCGTGTCGAGCGGCGACGTCGGAAGTAGCGGCGGCGAAAGGCAGGGTCCACATTCGGTGCGAGATCTTTGCGGTAACTGCCGTTGCAGCAGCCCGAGAGCTGGTAGCGGAGGCAGCAGCTGCGATGGTGGTCCGTAGGCGAGGAGAACGGACCGGTAAGGAGAAGCAAGAGGGGATACTCGTGTCCACACAGCCGCAGTGCTGGCGGAGATGCGCTCTGTCGCAGAAGATCCGCAAGCACCCAAGTTGATGTTGCGGTTGTACTCATTCTGCTCAGCCTCCGAGCCGAGCAGTTGGCGGCCGCTGTGCCACCGTGCGCCGAGCCTCTGTGCCCAGCCAATCACCACGGCTCGCGCAGGTGCCCATGGTGCCAGCCAACGTATCGAGCGTAAGCCGGAAATGCTGTGCGGCAACACATCTCGCTTGTGTGTCGCACCAGCTCTCATGTCGGCCTCAGTGCCGCACTGCTCACTCCGTGCACTCACCGGTCGGTACCATGTCAGGAGACGGAACACGGAGAGCTGTATAGGTCACTAGAGACCCACACCATCGCTACATCACCACAGCCACCAAGTCGGATACAAGTCGATGACAATGTGCGCGGCAGGAGAAACCCAACAGCATGACAATGTGCGCGGCAGGACAAACCAAACATGAGACACGGTTACACAAGGACGGTCAGGCTACGGTCAGGAAGTAGGTTTGAGTTCACACTCTCCAACACTAGCTCAAAACAAATGAGACTCCGTCCCCGTGCCCGGTTCCTCTCGGTCGCGTTGCCCGTCCGGCGTGTGCACAACAAAACAATGCACGACGCTCCGGCCTTTGGCACCCCGCGCCGCAGAAAGAGTGGGCGGTCAAGCTTCTTCGCAGTGTCCCCACCACCGTCCCCGCCGTCCGGTTTCCCCAAGAGACACACGCAGCTCCTTGATACCGGGGGCGATACCGCTGGGCCCTCAGACCACAGTGAGCTTGTGACTTTGGAGCTGGAAACGCCTGCGCAGGCTGAAGCGGGCTCGTCCATTGCGAGCTGCATCGCCAACCTGGCCAACACCAACCTCGGGGTGGGGATGCTTGCCCTCCCTGCGGCATTGGCGAGCGCAGGCGTCGTTGGCGGTGTTGGACTGCTGCTTCTGTCTGCCGCCATCGCCTCCTTCGGATCGCACCTCTTTGCGGAGTGCGTGAACGCAGTAGGCCGACCGGCCACCATGTCCAAGGTGACCGCTGCGGCGATGGCCAAAATGCCCGGCCCAGTTGGATGCTTTGGCACCCTTGTCACCGATTTTGCTGTCGCCGTGATTGGCTCTTCCAGTGCAATCGGCTACCTCATTGTCGTTGGCGACACGCTCCCCGAAATAAAGGCGTGGGTCGTGGGCCACAGCAATACGATCTTCGACTCCCGCGAGTTTTGGATCTGCGCTGTCCTGCCGATCATCGTGCCCCTCGCTTACCTGCGCCACATTGACTCGCTGCGCTTCGCCTCCTTTTGTGTCATCGGCTGCGTGGTGGTGATTGTCGTGACGGTGGTGCTCTTTGCGCTACAGCCAACACCGCTCTTTGATCCCTGTGGCGGTGCGGGCGAGCGTGCTCGCGGTGGTGGCGAGGGCGCCGGCAGCGGAGAGGAGGCCGAGCTGCAGGGAGGGGGCTCCTCCTGCCGAGGGCCCATCTCCGCTACAAGCGACGCGCTGCACACGCTCACTGCGCTGCCCACCTTCCTCTTTGCGTTTGCAGCGCAGATCAACGTGCCCTCAATCGCGAGCGAGCTCCGGCGGCCGACACCGCACCGGATTGCGGCGGTGATGCTCGGCGGTGTCGGCCTCACGACTGCCGTCTACCTAATGGTCGGTGGGGGCGGCTACGCCACGTACGGCAGCCTTGTGAGCGAGGACCTCTTCCTCTCATACCCCTCCTCTGCCATCGCCGCTCGCGTGTCGCTCATCTACGTGGTCGTCCTCTCGCACCCAGTCGTGTCGTACTCTGTCGCGCCGTGCATCGCCAACGCGCTCTGCACCCTTAGCTCTGTGGTGAGACAGCCACGCAACCGTGCGGTTGCACCTGCCGTCTCGTCCAGGCTGTCGGCCGCCGCCTCCTTGTCGAACGCTCGGCGCCAAAAGGCTCGCAACGCGCCCATCTACGACCTCGGTCTCGATGCGCTCGCTCACGTCCCGGAGGAGATGGCGGCCGGGCCGTTCACGCCGCGGGTCGCCGTGGTGTCGCCCCGGCCCGGCGCGGCCCAGGCGGGTTCTAAGGATGGCGTGTTTGTCACCGACCGGACGCACGCGGCCATTATCGGGTTCTACCTGCTCCTGACCACCACCACTGCGCTGCTCGTCCACGACCTTGGGATCGTCATCGCGCTGGCGGGCGCCGTCTCGGCGACCATCGCCGTCTTTATCGCGCCCGGCGCGTGCTACTGGTGTCTCCATCCGGACGAGGGCCTCAGCAGGACGCGCCTGCTGGCGGGGCTGCTTTTTGTCAGCGGCTGCATCCTGATGCCGCTGCTCGTGGTCTCCGTCTTGGCATCGCGTGGATTGATTCACTTTGGGGAAGCCGGCCGCACATGATGGCGCACTCGGCGAGAAAGGTGCAGCGGAGGCTGTGCCAGAGACCCCGTGCGGTGTGTGAACTGTCTGACTCTTGGGCGAGTCTGGCACTCATCTCTGATGGCGCCTAGCTTCGGTACATTTGCGTCCCCAGACACGTCCCCGCATTGCTTGCACAACTCTCCACACCACACGCAGGTGTGGGGGCCCCCACAGCGGCACAGGGGGGCAAAATGTGGAACGTGCCACATGCACATCCACATGCACATGCCACTGACATGCAACATGTGCATGCGCATGTGCACGTGCATGAGGAGACGATTCAGCGATCCGCCATCTGCATATCATACATAACCATATCTGATATCTCTCTCGTCTCTCGCGACTCTCTCTCGCGCGCGTCGTCCCCCGAGCCCCGTCCCGTCCACGTCCACCGCAGTGGTCCGCACACGACACCCCACACACCAACACCAACGCTCTCTCCATGGCTCTCTCGTCGTGAAAGCGCACTGTCCACGCCGTTTTTTGCCCCTTCCTGTAATCCTGAATGCGCTATAACCCTAGCTATAACCCCCCGCCATCCGCCTCCTGTCGGGTCATGAGTCCCCAGCTAGGCCCCCAGATGCTACGAAAACCCATCACGCTCAGGGCGCACAGCCGCCACACATATCGGATTAATCCGATATCGATCGTCGAGGTGCGGCTGAATTTAAGGACACACGAGCAGCACACGATAAAAGTCCGTGACTCACCCCTCAAAGGCGCCGGTGCAGCCCCATAGGTTCGGGAGCCGATAGTCGTGCAGGTGGATCCACGTGTTTGCCGCCAGCTTGACCCCCCTCCCCACCGGCCTCGCCTCGTGGTGCGTGCGCGCGTCTTGCGTCGTCGGGTCGTCGGCGAGGACCGACGGCCAGACGAGGGCGCGGCCGCGCTTTGGGAGGATGGCGATGGGGGGCGACAGGTCGGTGAAGGCGGTCTCGCCCCCCGACTCCACGTCAGAGAGGTAGAGAAAGACGGTGAGTACGCGCGGCCCGTGCGGCTCTGCGAAGGTCTGGCCGGGCCGAGGGACATAGTCGTGGTGGCGGACGTACCGCTGCGACGGGTCGTACCTCAGGACCTGGTACTGCTCGTAGTGCTGCCGGCTGATGCCCGTCAGCGCCTCGATCCGCCCCGACAGCGCCCGCACGTGCCTGTCCGCCTCGCAGCCCGCCATGCACCACGCGTTGCTCGAGGTGCGGCGCGAGGAGACCTCCTTGGCAACCTCGCCGTCCGCACTCACCGCGCCGTCGTCAGTCGAGCGCTCCATCTTGCCCATGGTGGTCGTGACGAGCGCCTGCGCAAGGGGCAGCTAGGAGTGGCACACGCGCCCTCCCGGCCCGGCTACTCTGCCGCCAGGCTACTCTGCCGCCAGCCTCCATCTGAGCGTCCGATAGAAAGCCGTCAATCGTGACGATCCATGGCCCGTCGGGCGGCCGGCTGAGCACCTCGACCTGCCCGTCCGCTGTCTGGATCATACGCTCAAACAGCGCATCGAGCCCTCCCTCCGGCAGGCCCGAGGTCTGATTGAACCGGTCGAGGCGGCACCGCACAGCCGGGTCGAGCATCTCGCAGGCGTTGCACGTCGCTGCGCAGTTCACGAACATCCACCCCGGCGAGTCCTTGCAGCTCGCACGCATCGAGGCGCAGCGCGCGGGGTCCTTGTCGAAACATGTGGGCACAGGCTTGGCTGCCCGGCTCGGCTCAGACCGGCTCCGCCGGCTCTCGTCGGGCTCGGACCGGCTCCGCCTCTCGTGGGACGGCGGCACGCGCTCGGTGGCCGCTGTTTCACGCCACAGCACCGCCCAGGCCACCGCTGCAGCAGCCGCTAGCGCGAGCAGCGAAGCTTTGGTGGACGCGCTGAGGAGCGGGGCTTTTGCTTGCCTTCGGCGAGACATGCGGGTACATGCGGCGTCTACGAGTTTTGGAGTTCCAACACCAGCAGGAACGCTCGAGTAAGATAGAGCCTACATGTAGAGAGAGACTCTCTCTTTTCTCCCAGTAAGCTAAAAGTACGTACATGTAGGGCCCTTAGGGGCCTAGAGAACACAACCCCCTCTCTCTTTTCTCCCAGTAAGCTAAAAGTACGTACATGTACGCCTCATGAAGCTGAACCACACGCAAAACGCGTAATATCGGGCAAAAGTGTTTTTTGCGCCGGCGCCGGCGCAGATCTGCGCCGCCATCGCCGTCGCGCCGTCGCGCCGGGGGTCTCGATCTCCAGTGCACTGTTCAGTAATAAGGTAGTGCATGCCAGACAAGTCACTGCGTCCGGCCGTGCCCCGGGAGGGAGGGGCGCGGTCGACACCAGAAAGGGGTTGTATATATACGTTCTCTAGAGACGACGTTTGTCGTGGACGGCCGCAATCACAATGGGGACGGACACGACAGGGCGAGGTGTGAAAGCACAGAGCTCAGAGGCAACTAACACACCAGCAAACAACACACACACACACACACACTAGGGTTCGGGAGAATGCTAGGGTTTAGGGAGAGAGTGCCTGACGGGCGTCGGCCCGACGCCACCCCCCTCGACTTAGTCGAGTAACGACGTTAGTCGAGTAACCGTGCACTGGCTCAGATCACGATGCGTTCTCGGGGATGTGATTCGTGATGTTAGTTCATGACCGGGGACGGTGAGGTCGCGAAGCTCGATGAACCGCTCGGCCTGGAGCGGCTTCGTGAAGAAGCCGGCGAGGTTGGCGTCACTGCGTACGAAAGGGACGCAGACAGAGGCGGTGCGCCTCGATCGCCTCGCGGATGTAGAAGTGGCGCCGCTCGACGTGCTTGAGCTTGCCGTGGTGTTCGGGGTTGTAAGCGGAGGCGATGGCGGCTAAAATGTTCGAGTTTTGGATCGTCGAGTATTACAGGTATTCCGTGGGGGCTGGGGGCGGGGTGTATTCTCGTAACATGTGCGTATTCTCGTATCACTGGCTGCGAGTAGAAAAAGAAAGAAAGCATGTCACTAGCTCCGAGTAGAGGGTAGAGGGGGCGTCCTGCAGTTAAGGGGAAACCCGGTACACGGAGCCCTCTCGGAGACCCGTGTTTACTTTACGGCCCTTTCCCTGCGAACGCGCACCCCCGGGGCTAGGGCTCTCTAGTCCGTAACCCGATACCGATCATCCGGCCCGCTGGGTGCGCTTCTTAGCTCCCCGGCCCTGGATGTGCGGTTGATGACTGCACTCCAAGTGCTCCAAGTTTGGCAGGACGTCGAGGAACTTAGCTCCAGAAAAAAAGAGGACGACCGTTTCGGTGAGTGGCGACGCGGCGCGCCGCTCCGTCAGCCTGGTTGTGAAGCGCAGGCCACGGCCAGGCAAGGTGGTGACGACCACCGTCTCGGTGGACCACCGGGTGGTGCTGTTTGTGGCCCTCCTCGCGCTCATCGCCTCCGCTGCCGGCCTATCGGTCTCCACAGAAAGTACAACGTCTCCACCTACCGAGGTCCGCCGCCTCAAATGGACTCCACGGGCGCCGCGGCGGCTCTCAACTTGCAACTGTGAGTGGACCACCGAATACGCGTGCCCGGGCAAGACAGCAGGCACCAAGGGCAATGCGAAAGATGACGGCACCGCCTGCTTTCAAGCCTGCTGTCCGGGGGCGAGTGCTGCAGAGCGCATCAGGACTCTCCTCACCCAAATGGTACTTGACACGAATCTCGAGGCCTTGCTACCGACGTTACCTGAAGAGGAGCGGAATGCCCGTAAACACGCAAACCAGCTCATCAACGGTCAGCAAGAGACCGCGAGTGTTCTTCTCGATGCATTTACCCGGCGCCCAGCGAGTCCGGTGGTGACAATTGCTGTCTACTTCACCCAAATCGACCCAAAGTTTCTCCGATGGAGTTCTCAGGAACAGGAACGGTGGCTTACGAGAACTCTTGTTCTGAAGCGCAGGGCTCATGTCATGAATCAGCAAGATTTTCTCGATGGGTTTCCTCGATACAGGATTTTCTCGAGCACGGCGCTGACGACGGCCTATTCCCCGCCTATGGCACCCGTGACAAATCTGAAGAACTCGATGACTTTCGGTTGGTCGAGATAGCAAAAGCTATCGGGGAACAGGTCGAGGCCGCGCACGAACTAGCAAGTCAGGCTGCCGATGTGGCTGAATTCTCTGCACCGCTTGTTATAGCCTCGGCGGCAGGGTGGGGTGGAGGAACACTGGCCGCTGGCGGCAGTGGGATGACTGGTGGAGTAGCGGCGCTTGGTGGAGTGGCCGCATTCGCTGTGATCGCCGTCGGAGTAGGTGTATATGGCACCTACAAGATTGCCGACTACATGATTGTTCGTGACGAAGAAAGAGAGGCATTTCAGTGCGATTGCGAGTGGACCTTGACTTACGCAGGTCCTCATGCTCCTCAAGCGATCCAGCCGCATACAAGAAAGACCCGACCGCACCGCATTGCCATTGGGCCAAGAACGACGGCTCAATGTGCTTTGACTACTGTGTTGTGGGTTTTTTGAGGAGGTGCAGCACGTGGCCAGTGAAATCATTGACCAGCGCGATCTGCTCGTATCGGAGGTCTACTGTCAGCGATGCTTGCTCAAGGAAACCCTCCGATGCGTCGAGATATGTCCTGCAGAAGCGATCTGGGCAAAATATTATTGCAAATGCTCCGCGAGCTGTCCTAAAAGAAAGAAAGAAAACAGACAACCCAAAAGGGAGGATCGCGCCGTGGAGCCCTCCCCCTGGGAGCCCTCCCCCTACTGTTTTTATCGTGCGCTGCTCACTCACTATACACTGAGCCTGGAGAGAGAGTACACCACACACACAAACACTACTCCCCAACACGCGGCCTAGCCAGGCCTGCCTGCTTGCTGCTACACGATGGCGACGTTCTCAGGGTTCTGTCTGCGTGCTTTTGCTGCCACCCAGCCGGCGAGGCGAGGTGACAGGTGGGCGCGACCGTTGCGCGCTGCTCGAGTGCGCACGACAAAGCAGCTCTGATGCAGCCATGGTGACCTGCGTGCGCGGGGACGGCAAGGGTCGCGCCGCAGCCCGTGCTCACCGGGGGCTCAGTCTCGATGGGGAGTGTGTGGGGAGAGAGAGAGCAGCCAGGCCCGCGTACCGGTAATGCGAGACGACATTGACAGTTGGAGCCGCCCGCGGCTTGCAGAGCGTTTGAAAGTTGTCGGGACGTGCGCATGTCGCGGGCGACGCCCGTCCGCAGCAGACACGTCGTGGTGACGATGATGGCGAGGAGCATCACGGTGGAGACGAGCGGCACGGCCCTGCCTGGGCTCGCTCGAGTTTCCGGTCTGGGCATGGGCATGGCTTTTTGGTTTTTCACCCGAGAATTTCTTTGTTCGGCGTTGGCGTCGCAGTCGAGTTGGCAAAACGGGTCTTTCAGTTTCGATGCTTTGAGTGAGGACGGTCGGGCCTCCGCCTCGACAGGGAATGTGCGGAGGAAGTGACGGCTCGATGAGCGGCGAGCCGAGCGCCGCGTCGAGCGGCGAGTCAAGCGGCGAGGAGGCTGGCATGCTCCGCGCAGCGATCGTTGCTCGAGCAGCGCTGCCTGCAGCGCGGCCATTCGAGCTGCTCCGGCTGGCGCTCAAGCGGCAGAGCATCTCTTTCTTCCGCCCTCGAGCGCTGAAACCGAGCCTGAGCATGGAGTCGGTGCAGATCCACGGCGCGAGAGGTGCGGTATGGCGTGCCGCGCCTCTGATTGCGGCCAACACGGTGGCCGGAGGTGTGCTGTTCAAGACGCACGGATTAGTCGCCACGACCCTCGAGGACATGGGAGCTGGCGTGCACGTCGGGACGGCGGCACTCGCCGGCGGAGCGGGCGGCGCTGCTCACGCGCTGGTGGTTGTGCCTCTCCAGGCTGCGTTACTGCGGTCAGCCGTGCCTCTCGCGGCCGCACTACCAGTCGCGTTGGCTCGCGACGCTTTGGGCTTCGCCGGTTTTTTTGCCGGGTGGAGTGGGATGCAGAGCGCTTGCGAAAAGGCGCTCGCCTCTCGCCCGTCGAGTAGTCGGCCCTTGGAGCTGGCAGCTGCCGTGGCGGCGGGCGGGGTCGCCGGAGGCGCGTACCAGTTTATCGCGCACCCTTTCGAGGGCAAGGCGTCCCTCGGCGAGGTGCGGCACGCGCTGAAGAGCGGGCTGCAGACGGTGGCCCGCTCTGCCGCAAGCGCTAGCAGGCCTGCGGTCTTGGTTGGGAGTGCCACCTTTTTCGCGGTAGAGGTGCTGCGCGCTTGGCTCGATGCTTTGGACGGCAGGAAGCGACGAGTCCGGAGGTTCGACAGCTGGGAGTGAGAAAAGAAAAAGACGGCTTCCGTGTCGACGGATCGGAGGAGCGACCGACGGAGTCTTTGCGACGGTTGGTGTTGAACAACAGTGTTGTCTCAGTCTGTAGTCACGAGTCTCGACTCTCGCGCCGCGCGGGCTCGGGGTGCCTGCGGCTGCGAGAGACCGGCAGGAGACCGGCGAAAACAAAATGAAACGCCACAATTCGAGGTCTGCGGAGTCGTCTCTCGTGTTTTAAATATAGCGTCGTGTGTTTGCGATGTGCGCGATCGTTGGGGTGTTCGGCGGTCCACGCAGAGACACGGGCTCGGGGAACCGCCTGCAACCCTGCTGCAATCTTCGCCCGCCATCACCGAGCGCTCTCCCCTCCTGCGCAGCACGTAAGCTGCAGCGCGACTGCCCGCCCCTCCGCCGAGCGACAAGCCCGGCGGGGGAGAAAGGAGAGTGATCAGTGATGCCGCCCCGCTACCGCCACTCGCTCGTGTCATCCTCGCGCCAAGCGGCGCGCCGCCGAGCCATCGCTTGCTCCACCGCGTGCTGAAGCCCGCCCTCTCTCCCCGCCGCCGGCCGCTCCCCCGCCGCCACTCCGCGCTGCGCGACCGGCTGCAGCCTCTTGAGCCGGGCCTGCAGATCAGCTGCCTTGGGCACCGCTGCGCCGGCCCCCGAGGACTGGCTGTTTGGCGTGACCGGCGCGAGCGGAGTCCGGCCGGTCGGCCGCGGGAGGGCGGAGCGAGGAGCGGGGGCAGCAGGCGGCGGCGGCGGCGGCGGCGGTGGAGGAGGTGGAGGAGGTGGAGGTGGAGGAGGCGCCGGGGCAATCTGCGACGCGAGCGGCAAGGTGGGAGCAAGCAAACTGTCGGTCGGCGAGGCCCGCTTCGCCGCAGCGAGGGCGGAAGCGACGAGCGGCGCAATCTCGAGCGGCGCATCGCCTCCTTGCGCGCACGCGAGCTGCTGCTGCCGCTGAATCTCGGCGCGCAGCGCAGCAAGGTCGAGGCCTCCGCCGCCGCCGCCCATCGCGAGGCAAACCTGCTCAATGACGTGCGGCAGCGCGTCGAGCGAGACACCGCCGGCGGCGGCGGCGGAGGCCGCGGGCGACGGCGATGGGGGCGGGCCGCGCAGCTCGGGCCGGAGGAGCGGGTGGTCGAGCAGCTCGGGGATGGAAGGGCGGAGGGTGGGCTGCCGCTGCAGGCAGCGCCGCAGCACGTCCACCATGTACGGGTTGCGCGTGGGCGGGAAGGCGATTGCCTTGCTCGGGTCGGGGATCGCCTGCAGCTTGAAACATTCATAGTTAATCCCGTGGTTCATCGCCGGCTCGTGAGGCGAGGCGACCGCCTGCAGCTTCTGGTAGATGGTGCGCAGGTGCGAGAAGGGGGTGTGCCCGTACACCATCTGGTAGAGGATGCAGCCGAGGGACCAGACGTCCGAGGCGCGGCCGAGCTTGAACTGGCCCTCGGCCGAGGAGTCGTCACCCTCGCACGTGATCGACTCCGGCGACATGTAGTTGACAGTCCCGACCTGCGGGTCACATGCGGTCGACTCTTGGCATGCAGTGGACAGGTGACAGGTGCATGCAGTCAACAAGCCAAACCTGCGAGTCGCGCGCGATCTTTGTCGTGTCGGCGCTCGACTGCTTGGCGATGCCAAAGTCGATCAGCTTGAGCGAGCCCTGGACGCAGAGGAAGTTGGCGGGCTTGAGGTCGGCGTGGATCACGCGCGCCTCGTGGATGGCGTTGACCGCGGCCAGCATCTGCTGCCAGTACATGCAGATGAAGGACTCGGAGAGGGTGCCGTCGCGCTCCGAGCCGCGCTGCCGCTGCAGCATGTGCGCGAGGTCGATCTCGCCGCACTCCATCACCAGGTAGACGGCCTGCTGCTCGAGCTTGACCTCCGAGTCGACGAGCCTGCGGCGGACAAGCAGCCGTTAGAGGTCCACCCGCGGGGCTCACAGCTTGACCTCGAGAGTCGACGGGCCCGATGATGTGCGCGTTGAGCTGCCGCTCCTTGAGCAGCTCCATCAGCGCGATCTCGTTGGTCACGGCCTCGAGGAGCTGCTCGTCCCCGTCGCACTTGACCTGCTTGAGCGCGAGGATCTTGCGGCTCGGCGCGAGCACCTTGAAGACTTGTGACGTCCCGCCGCGCCCGATCGGCTCCAGCTTCGAGTACGGGACGCCGTTGATGTGAAACACCTCCGCTCCCGCAACGGCGCCGGGCGTCTCGGCCGCCGCGGGCGGCGCCTTGCGACAAGCGGGCGTCTGCGGCGCCGGCGTGACTTCGCCGACGGCCTGCGGCTTTGGCGTCGCCGCGGCTGTGAGGGGCCGTATCCTCACGATGGAGCTGGACGAGGGGGCGCCTGCGCGAGGAGGGGGGCGAGACCCCTCAGCCGGGCGGCGCGGGTAGCGGTCCAGGAAGTGGTGTGTGTGTGTGTGTGTGTGTGTGCGTGTGTGTGCGTATCTATCGGGACAGCACTGTTCACTCTCCTCTCCCATGTCTGTCCCCTCTGAACCGCCGCCCTGCCTCCGTCTCGACCCGCTAAACTT